TGATGGTGTCAAAAATAAATCCCTTGCTGCCTGGGAATTGGTCTGTAGGCCCAAAAGCAAAGGGGGGCTTGGAGTCATCGATATCAAAACCCAGAATGTAGCCCTCCTTCTGAAACACCCGTTTAAGTTTTATAACCGCCACGATGTCCCCTGGGTGACTTTGATCTGGGATACCTATTATACGGGCAGAATTCCACATGCGGTAGAACCGGTTGGCTCTTTTTGGTGGCGCGACGTAATGCAGCTCAGTGATGTGTTCCGTGGGGTCACCAAGGTCACTCTGGGCAATGGCTCCTCCCTGTTCTGGAAAGATGCATGGTTCGATGATCGTGACGCCCCGCTAATGGAGATCTTCCCCAGAGCTTTCTCTTTCTGCTTGAATGAAGACGAGCCCGTGGTTAATATACTCACTGCTACGGACCCAAGCTTGATCTTCCACCTGCTGCTTTCCACACAAGCTAGAGAGGAGGTCAGCGAAATCCAGCAAGGATCCATGCATGTACTTCTTGACAGAGATTGCAACGATACCTGGGTTTGCAACCTTGGTGGGACTTTCTCATCCAAGAGATACTATGATCACTGCTTCAGAGAAACGGTTGCTGATATGGCCTTTGGCTGGTTGTGGAAGGCTAAGAGCCTGATTAAGTTTAAAATGTTTGGTTGGCTGCTGTTGGTTGATCGACTAAATACCAGGAATATGCTGAAACGCCGGCATTTTGTCGTGGCTGGGAACAATTACACATGCATGCTCTGTCAGAGCCCTCCTGAGGAAACGGTTGAGCATCTCTTCTTCAATTGCCCGTTTAGTCAACAATGCTGGGACAAAGTTGGCATGCTCTGGCCAAGCTCTGGGAATAGGCTCACTCTGCTGCATGCTGGCAGGGAGAGTTGGCGGCGGCCTTTGTTTATGGACATTTTCTTACTGGCCGCTTGGAGCCTGTGGAAGGAGAGAAATAACGTACACTTCAGGGGGATTCCACGCTCTCTCGGTTCGTGGTTGGCTAGGTTCAAAGATCTTTTGGCCTTGTTGGTTCACAATTGTAAGGAGGACCTGCGTCCTTC